TTTTTTTTTTTGCTAAAAATGCAACTGGATATTATAGATATCCTTGAAATCTTTCTTTCATTCATTTTTAATAGTAAAAGTGTAAGTTGCAGCATGTATCTCCTTTACAAAGAACAGACTTTGCTTTTCATGGAAAAACATCTCCATCTTGTGGTCTTTTAAATTATTGTTGGAAACTTTTGAAATTTCCCTTAAAGTATGCATTGAGTTTTTTCAAGAACATATTACTATATTAAACAGGATTGATTTTAGAAATACCAAAAGAAAAAAATGAGGTCTTCACTGCTATTATAATTCTATATGACCTGTTATGATTAAGTGACATTAAGCTTTAAATTTTTTTAAGAAAGTAGCTCATTTTTAATAGCAATTTTCTAGAAAAATTATCAACCCTTATTTGTTTGTTTTTTAACAGGATTTCATTCCTTCAAATAGTATATTATCAAATGCCTTATCATGGGGAGTAAAAATTCTTCATATTGATGGTAAGAATTTTATAATTGACGTTTGACAATATTGGGTATAGGACTTATGTCCATCCTTTGGTTCCTGGCTTTACATAGTGAAAAAACTTTTATAATACCTATAATGGTAAATCCTTCATCTAAATTTACTACAACTCTTAAGAAAATACTGGTGTTTCACTCCAACTTGAAAATTATTAATCATAAGCCCTTTCTTTCTTTTAATAAAGACATTAGATACTACATTGAACAAAAGAAAAAAGAGTTGTATTTACTCAAGAAATCAAGTACTTCCATAAGAGATGTGGTATGTTGTCTTCTTTAATTTTAAACTAGTTTTTAAAAGTGGTCAAGTTTGTTTTTTGTTTCATTTTTAGTCTTTATGTATCTGTGAAATATTTCCTGCCAGGTTCAAAATATTGTCAGAATCTCAGGGGTGAGTTTGTGTATTGTATGCATGTTTCTGAATTTTTGTGTATGATTTAACTTTAGGATTGTACTCATGAGGAAAAGTTGCCCTTGGGATAGTGGAGTGACAAATGAGTTTTGGTTTTTATTTTTTACTTTCTTTTTGATTGCTAGTAGGTTTTTTTTGTTGTTGTTTTTATACATACACATATAAACATATGCATATCTTACACCCATACAGATTTTTTTTTTTTTTTAGTTGTAGATGGACACAGCACCTTTATTTTTATGTGGTGCTAAGGATCGAACCCATGCCTCACATGTTCTAGGCAAGCACTCTACCACTGAGCTACATACAAGCCCAGCCACCTGCTATTGTTTTTTATAGGTACTTTAACTAAAACTAAAATAGCCAATTGCATAAGAAATTTCTAATATAAATAATGTATTATTTTTTAGAAACAAATAGTGAATATAGTATGATGATGGTGTAACAAAATCTTGTATGGATATATAGTCTGACCTTGAAACTAATACAGTAACTTCCTTTGATCCCACATCCCTACCTACTGTCCAATCTTTATATCACTCCTTTCATTCATGCTTCTTAAATCTCTAATATTTTCCATTCACTTTTCAACCTATAAGATATGAAACTCCTAACCTATTTGCTGGATCATTTTGATATTTTTTAAAACCAATCATATTGGTTTTCTTAACCATTGTCCATTCTGTCCTTGCACTTTTATAATCTCTCCTGGAATATCTCATTTCGTAGCTGACTTTGGCTTTCCTCATATGTCCAGACCATTCTTTTGTGGTTTGCTTTGGTTTTCCTCATTCAGTCCTCAAGTAACTAGGATCCAGACGAAAATAGATTTCATAGGAAAGAGTGTATAAAGACATGAAAACACAAATAAGTAATTTGGCATGTTTGGGCAATTTCTTATTAGTATAATACAGCTTGATAAAATTGAGTGGGATATCACTTTGTACAACTCCAGTAATACTAAAAGATCTCTCTTGATTTTACCTCAACTTATCCCTGATGTTCTGTTTTGTATTTCTTCGATCTTTTTTTTTTTTTTCTGTTTTTTAATTGGAGATAGTTGTTCACTTATCTTTGAGTTTACTGACACTTCATTCTGTCATCTACATTCTATTAAGGCCATCCAATGAATTTTCTATCTCCTATAATGTATTTTTCAGTCCAACAATTTCTGGTGAATTCATTTTTCTACTGATAACTTATACTTTTGTTTCATTTTAAGTGTGTTTACCTTCAAAGTAATTGTGACATTAGAAATATTTTGGTCTTAGAATCTGATTATTGTTTATCTTCAATAATTGGTCATTTTTTCCTGTTTTTTTTTAATAAGCCAGATAAGTTTGCATTTTATATATAAGATACTGTAAATGTTATGTTGTGTAGGCCTCAGATCTATTATAATAGTCTAGAGACTGTTGATTTTGTTTTTGCTATTGTTTTAGCAGGCAGTCATCCCAGTTTTGTTCAGCCTCTCAGTTCTGTCTTAATTTTTGTGGGTGGTTGTTCTAATTTGTTTCAGTTTTCAAAAACAAGTGCTATTGCTTCTTTTACTATATTTTTAAACACATTATTTTCACAATTTTTTTTTTAAGGGAAAAAGAGTTGGTATTGGAACACAAAAAACAAGAAGTAAGTATTTTGATACCCATAAATATATATGGTTTATACCTATAAAATAGAATAAATCACATAAAGATAGTCTAATATCATGTAAATGGCTCTTTAAATTGTTTTGTTTTTAGGGGATTCCTGGTTATTTTTAGAACATGTACTCCCTATGACAGTCTGATGAAGCCTATGGAGCCCCCTCCCTTGAATGATATTTCTTAAAGCACTTTTTTTTTAATCATTACATTATTAAAAAATCAATTATGTTGACATTGATTTATGAAAGTTATTTTAATTATGAAGTAGTGCTATGCTTGCTTTTTATTGCATATTGAAAACAAGGTTCTATCAGTTATTCTGATTGCTACTGTAATTTTTAAAGTGATAAGCATAAACAATGTTTTGATATATCTATAACAACCAGTATACTGTGAAAATACATGCTTTTCCATTGGTAGCAAAGTTATAGTAGTGTCAGTGCTACTGTGATCTGTTACTTACATTTATAATTGGAGGAAATGTTAAGTATCAACTAGAGGGTAGTGAAAATAAAAATGTAACTTTTCTATGTCAATTCACATTCCTCCTATATTCTATTCATAGACCCTTTGGGAATTCCATTTAGTTTGAGAATCTCAGAATATGGCCAAACCTTCTGAGATTTTTGAAAATGGAGTGATATTGGAATGGCCTTCTCCTTAGGATTAAATCTTTGAAATAAATAGGTTATTTCTGGTTTCAGGGGTTTTGTCAAAGTGGTTTTATTTGAGTGGGGATCCTGAATTTGCAGCTCCATAATATTATGTTTTCTATATTCTTAAGCAGGAAGACTCAAAAAGCCTTTTGTAAAGGTAGAAGATATGAGCCAGTAAGTATCTTAAGTGTGATAAATGTGACTTAGATGCAGTTTTAAAGGAGAAAATCTCTTTAAATTAATGAAGCTATTTCCATTAATACTGTTAAGTTCCTTTATATTACATAAGTGTACATGTGTCATTAATTCATTTGCGCTGAAGGACTGGATTTAATTTCAGTATATTGTAGATGTCTTTGAAGTATCTGGTTTAGAGCAATCATGAGTCCAGCTCGTTTTTTAGCATTTCAAATAATTGTTCTCTACAGTACCATATGATTTAGAACTACAACTTAAAGATCACTCTTACATTTGTGAAAATAGGTATTAGATGCTATTTGGAAATATAAAATTGAAATATAACATCTAGTGTGAAAGCTTTCCTACACTTTGAAGTTTTATAGAATAATTTTTGTGAAAACTATACATATAGATAAAGTAGTTTGGAATAGAAGAATTAGATTTCTTTCTTTTCAGTTATTTAAACATGTATGGTTCTTTTGGGTGCTCACTGAGGTCACAAACATGTTGAAACTTCTTTTGATGAAATGTGTTACTGTGAAGAAAAAATGCAATTCAGAGTTAGGCCTATAGAAAACACCAATAAATGGAAAGATCGCCACATTTATGGATTAGAAGACTTAATATTGTTAAGATATTGATTAACAGTACCAATGCATTCTATAGATTCAGTGTCATCCTTGTCAAAAATCCTAATGATGTATTTTTTTTATTGTTTTGTAGAAGTAGAAAAACCCATTCAAATATTCAGTTGAACTCTCAAGAATCCCCATATATCTAAAACAGTCTTGAAAAAAGAACGAAGTTAAATTTCTCACACTTCATGATTTCAAAATTTACTACATAGCTACAGTAATCAAAAAATTTGGTACTGGCATAAGCTCAGCCATATAGGTAGTTTACAGAGCCAGGAAAAAACCCATCACACATATGATCAAATCATTTTTGCCATAAGGAGGGCATTGAATGGAAAAGAACCATAACAAAAACTGGGGGAAAAAACTAGATATCAACATGCAAAAGAATGAAGTTGAACTCTTATAAGACCTAAAACTATAAAGCTCTTAGAATAAAACACAGGATAAAAACTTCATGACATTGAATTTGTTGATGGTTTTTTAAATATGATATGAAAAGCACAAGCAGCAAATAAAATAAAAAGAATTGAAGTGTATCAATTGTAAATTCTGCACATCAAATGACAACAGTTAAAAGCTAACCTAAAGAATGGGAGAAGGTAATTGCAAATCATATATCTTATGAGGGGTTTATATGCAGAATATATAAAGAACTACGATCAAAAGAAAAACATTACTCAACAAACAAAACCCCAGATATACCCTGATTAAGGAATGTACAAAGCACACTTTCTCAGTGATATATGCATGGCCAACCAACAAATGAAAAGATATTCAAAATCGTTAGTAGATAAATGCAAGTCTAAATCAAACAATACCACTTCATATCAATTAGGATATCCACTTTTTTTAATTTAAAAAATAAAATAAAGGTAAACGTTACTCAAATCCATCAGCAAATGAACAAAGAGAACAAGATGTGGGAGATATATACATATGTATACACAAAATGGTATAGTAAGTCATAATAAAAAATGATATGACATGGATGAAGTTTGAGGACATTATTCTAAGTGAAAGGAGGTAAGACATTAAAATTGGTTTCATTTAATGTAGGTTCGACCTACAATTGGTTCTATTTAATCACAGAAGCCTATTTGTCTGTTTTTTCTTTTAGACTTTATAGGCCATTTTATCTTCAGATGACAAATATGCCTATTATAAACTACTCAATTCAGAAGCCCTGCAGTCCATATGATGTAGATAAGCCATCTAGTATCCAAAAGCAAACTCAGGTTAAACTAAGGTTGGTTTGAATCATTACCTCTACAAGGAATATTCTTAAGGTTATCATCTCAAGAAATTATTTCTTTATAAGCAAATATTTGAAATGGTTCATTTTATTTCATGATAGGGAT